ATATATATACACGCGCGCGCGACAATTGGTATCAAAGCTTCTCTATATAGCAAAAGGTACAGATTCTGTATCGACGCCTCCATAGGTGTAGAGGTAAGGTGTCCTTCAAATTTTATTATGGTATATATTTTTTATGTAAACCTTAAAAATCTTAAAAATGGACGGTATAGATAATATGTTGTAAAATATACTATTTTGAGACTTAAAATCTTTTTATTTTTCATAGTCATACATCTCAATTTGATGATCAATCAAAAAGTTTTTCAACATTAAAACTACATTTTTCAATACATTTTTTAGGGCATCCGTAGTTCTACATTATAAGGTAGCATCTTTGTATAAATTTTTTCATACGGCAAAACCCTGATCAAAACCCCGATTTGAGTTCCAAGTTGATCGGACGACCCAATTGATATCTAAGTAACTCCCTACATCATAGCCGCTGATCCGGCGCTTTGACAGACTTACTTTGCGCCGTGTGTAAAAAAGTTTCCTTCCCTTACGAGGTGAAATTCAAAATGTTTTAGGGTACTTCGGTCATTAAAAGAAAGAGTTAGGTGTTTCCAGTCATTTAATAGTTTAGATTTGCAAAAAAAAGTTATGCTCTCGGATAAAGTGCCTTAACAAACAAATGCCTAATTATACCTGTACAGCAAAAAAAATAAAAAATAAAAAAATAAAAAAATAAAAAATAAAATAAAAATAAATTAAATTATAAATATTTTTAAATTACTAAAAACAGGAGTTCAAGAACCCATGATCACTTCCAAAATTTCAACTCAGAAGAATTGAAAAGCCTTTGAGCCCTTGGAGGAGGTTCCTAGGGCTCCTTTGTGTAGCTCCCCCTTCCTCCATTTGTGTAGCTCCCCCTTCCTCCATGACAAGTTTCTCTCTTTGTATAGTCCCCCGTCCTACCAGGCAAGTTTCTCTTTCCTTCTTTGTATAGTCCCCCCTCCTCCCAGGCAAGTTTCTCTTTCCTTTTATGTGGTAGTTTTCTAAATCTCTCTTAACTCTCTCTTTCCTTGTAACCTTCTATTTCTAAACATCTTAATCTCATGGATGAAATCTATTAGTTTCAAGTTTCTCTTTCCTTTCCTTTTGAGGGTAGTTTTCTAAAAATCTAACTTCTCTCTACCCATCTCTTCATGTGGATGGTTAGTTTCTTTCTTTTAGGTTTCTTAAGAGTTTTTTTCTTTTATTGCCATGGTGCTATGTGTTGGCTTTGTGCATATCTTTTCCTTTTGGTAATCATGTAATTTATTCTTTATGATGTGCTGTTTTGTGTATTGGATTTTTAGATTGGGGTTTTGTGAATTTTTTATTGTGGTAGAGTTGATTAATGATTTTTGTTTTTTGATGAAGTGATTGATGATGTATTATGTGTTATCTTTTGAATTTATTGTCTTGGAGGTTTACAATGCTTTGGTATTTGGAAACTTGAGAATTGTTTGTGCTTGTTGCAAGTGTTTGATTGTTATTTTTTTATTTATCTTTATTTTGGTCATTGATTTGATTATTTCTTAAAAATTGTTGGGGATACATTGTGAGGATTCTAGTGCCTAACTCCCTTCCTGCCTAATTATATTATTTGGTTTGAGTTTTTTGTGATTGGTTAGAAATTGGAGAAGTATCTCTGTTGGGTTTCCCGGTTTTGTTTTCGCATCCTTTTAAATATCAATGTTTTCTAGTTTGCTTTAGTTGGTTTCACATGGCAGGTTTGGAATTTTCTTAGGAGCTTGTAAGCTGTCTGTGATCAAGGGTAGAATATGGTTTTTTATTGCTTCTTTTTTAATAAATTTCTTGATTTTGGGCTTTCTGTCTTGGTTTCTTTGATAGGAAGATGATTTATATACCAGATCAAGTGGAATAGTATGTCAAGTGGCTTTGAGGGCTTTTAGGAATGTTTTGTATTATTAAATATAGAAGAGTGAAGGTTTGATCTTGTCTCTTGTAATTGCGTCGGTCTTTTTCCCCCAATATTTTATGTTAGGGGCCTCAGGGCATATTGGTGTGGGAAATATCTTTGAATTAGGGATTTTGTTTTAGTTGCTTTCCAGAATATGAATAGGAACTAACATGCTGGGAAAAGTTGATTTCCATGCAAGAGATATCTGTGTCTATCAGATTTTTGGGTTTTTAGTTTTAGGGTTGAAAATAGTAACTGGAATAAGGAACAATAGCTTTATGTTTTGGATGTTGAAAGCCTCTCTCGCGGCTCCCTTGGCTTAACCTTTACCTCTTGTCCATGTTTTCTTTTCTCTATTTCTTTCGCATTTGTCTATTGGTATCAAAGCAAATTATCGTACCATAAGTTTGTGGATTTAACTCACGATGAATATAAGGCAAAAAGAAATCATTCATTTTCCTTGTGGTGCTTGAGGATGTAAATGGCTAGATGAAACTAACCAGTATTATTGGGTTCTTTGATTGGAACATTATATGATGCGTCCAAGACTCAAGAGAAATCAAAGTGTAACATCACGAATGCTTTTAAGTTTGATTTTGGGGAGTATTTAGATCATCCCTTTTACACCTATGTAAGGCGGAAAAAAACCTCCTCAATGGAGGCAGATGATAAATTGTTATTTTGGAGAGGTGTTGCAATGAACTAGTTTTGGTTGAGTTCTAGGTGTGTGAGAATGATGCAACATGGAGAGTGATATGTCTAGAATACTACTGTAGTCGTTGTTAGTTTAGGCAACGATTGAAAAATCGTCGATCTGGATTGGGAATCTAGAATTTTTGTAAGGTTTTTATGCAGGTTTCTATTAGGGCTGGAAAATGAAAATTCATCTTGGTGTCATTGATAGTTTGTAATAAATATTGAGAATTCGTTGATCCTTATCTGGAATCATTGATCAAGATAGGAAATCGTCCATGGCCATGTCAATTGCTGGTCATAATTGGTTATTAGGCCTTAGAAAAATGAAAGAGAAAAGTGTCATTTTATCATAGTCAACAAAGGAGCCCCAGGAATGATGTTGTTTTTATTACTCATTTTGCTTTATTGGCTATTAGCTATGTTTAAAAAAGCAGATCGGTGACCTAGATCGGCCATCTTAAAAACCAATTCGGGTCAGCGGGTTGGTGGTCTGGATTGGTGGCTTGGCTAGATCGGCAAGATCCGATCTTAAATTTTTTCAAAAAATACTAAAAATTTGGGGTAGTGCACTATGAATTTTAATTGTCTTGCAAAAATACGTGAATATTTAGATGTCGTCTCTATTTTGAATTTCTATTGACCATTGTATTCACTTTTACATCTTCGATATGAACAAACGTTCTCAAAAATAAAATATGTCAAATAGCATATTTTATACAACAATAAAAATTTTAAATATATTTGTAAGTTATAAAAGCGATTGGGATTGACAATATAAAAGGGATTGACAATTTAAATATAATTTGTAACAATATCTCTTTCGCTAGAGATTTCATGGGGTATTCGTGTTAGGATTGGATATTTGTATTTGGATAAGAGAGTGGGTTCTTGATTGAAGGAGAAGGGCTTTGTTTTAATCAAGCAAGAGAGTTTGAAAGGAGTTGGTGTTTAATCCCGCAATGA